CGAACAGATAAGATCTCTTCTTTCTCTAATTTCTCAGTAGACGGATGGAATTTGTTATGTTACTCGAGCGTTTCTTGCTCTAGAACGACGTAATTCGCATTCATAGAGGTTGCCTTTATGCCTTTTCCAGAAAGAATAATAAGGCTTCTAATTGTAAGGAGTACATTGACACTGCAAATTCCGGTTCTTTTTTTCCTTCCTTCATTTTTTCTTTTCTTTTATTTTCTTTCCTTTTCCTCTCTTTTCCCTTTTCCTTTATTTTTTTTTATTATTCGCTCAGGCCCCGCCCCCCCCACCTCCATAACAGACTAGTCGTTGCTAGTTTTCTTCGACTATCTTCGATCGGAAATTCATATTTCATAAGAGTTTGTACCCTTTCTATCAAAGCTACGACGAGACGACGACCTACCACTATGAACGATTATGTGTCGTCTGAGAAACTCCGTTATCTATATTTCAAATCATGTCGGGTGAGTGCATATAGATTATTACGATGGGTGCGCACACTGTAAAACGATGGATGCGGTTCGACCTTCGATCCTCCCTTTCAAAGTCCTCTCCCATTGTGAACATAATTTTGTTATGGAAAAGAAAAGAAATAAGAAAAAAAGAGAAAGTGTAAGTGTGTGTGTGTATATGTGTGTGAGTGAGTGAATGAGTGAGTGAGAGAGAGAAAGAATGCATTAATATACCTACATAAATCATTTTCTCTTGATTGATTATAGTCCAACTTTCGCGTTATCGATCGACAAACTTTCCCTATTATTTTACTTTTTTCAAAGTAAGATTGTTAAAAGAAAAAAATGGAAAAAAGGAAAGAAGAAGAAGAAGAAGAAAGAACAAAAAATAATCGTTAACTTAACAAATATATTTATTCGACACGATAGGCGACATACGATTTGAGATATATGATATTGTATGAAAGTGAGCTAGATTTGGATAAGAATTTCGGACGTTCTCGAAATGACGACATTTTTAGATCACAAGTCAAATCTCTCTGCTAATATCACTACTATTATTATTACTATTACTACTACTAATACTACTACTACTACTACTACTACTACTACTACTACCACTACTGCGTTGAAAGATTTATAACGGGTATCCTAAGAATTAGTGTCACGTACGTTTCAGATCGTATACGGATGACCCGCATAGATAGCGGACGTCCCACAAACTATTGAATGCTAGGCCAGTGAAAAACTGCTTACAATTTCGCTCTCTCGCGTATTACCAACTGAAACTTGCATAAAAGTAATATTCAAACAAAGCAAAAAAGGAAAAGAAAAAAAAACTGTAGGTAGTTTTAATATATATATATATACACTGTATATTATAAGTGCATATGCGCATATGACTTATCCTTTCAATGAATTCTCATATGGGCAGATAAAAAATTTAATGAGAGATACCAACGATTTAATGAAACGTTACTTTTCAATCTCGTCGAATTACAATGAGGTTAATAATTAAACGATACTCTTGTAATACATTCTAATAGTATCAAATATAAAGAGAAATATCGCGCAGCCTTGAGTTCAGTTATTGCTTGGAACGCCTACCGACGTACATACATACGTAGTAACATTCAACGTGAATGTCAACTACTCCGAGAACACATAACTTAACAATCCTGTTTTTCATTTGCAGTCAAAAGAGGCAACATCAGCAGCATCAGCAACAACATCAGCAACAACTTCAGTATCAGCATCAGCTTCCACATCAAAATTCGCATCAGCATCAGCATCAGAATCAGCAACAGCAGCAGCAGCAACAAAATCAACATCAGCATCAGCAACAGCAACATCAGCATCAGCAGCAACAACATCAGCATCAGCATGCCTCTTGGCATAGGACTACTTTAGCATCTTGACCGTTACGACCATAACCTTGACCAATAGTCGTCTTAACTAGTAGTCATTTCAATGCATGAGAGAGAGAGAGAGAGAGAGGAGAATAAAAGAAAAAACTTCTTTTCCTTGTTCCACTACAAGGAAAAATTTATTATTAGATTCTAATCCAAAGCGTTAGGGAACAGTAAGAGAGCATTGGCGTAAGATCGATTATACACTTATGTACGCAACTCCAAACGTGTTAAATCGATCATTTGATCATGATCTTTGACATTGTTAATCTCAGCAGTAAATTTTGTTCTATCCGTTGGGACGATAGTGCAATAATAAATCGCCGTGACGATATTCTAGATATTTCTTTGTTACCATTCGATTGTCCAATTTTATTCGATGTTACGTTAAGAGATAAATCGTTTTATAAGCGTATATTAAGAATCTTTTTATCGGGGATATATGCAATGGGTTATTGTTAAGTTCGAATTAACAATTTACATATCGTCCTTGTTACATTTGTTATAGATTTTTTTTTTTTTATTATATTTACGATGATCAACGGTCGTGTATCATTTAACGTGCAATAACTTCTCCTTCTCTTTGATTTTCTTCTTTGAAATCGTCACGGCGACGTTAAAGTGTATTTCGAGCTTTTATCAGCGTTTTTATTGTTAAATCTCGAGCATGACTTAACGATTACGATCGAGTCGAGTTTGCAGAATGATAGAAAAAAAGCAAAATTAATATTATATCTAATTAATATTATATCTAGTATTAATATTAGAAGAAAAAAAAATTGTTGCAGTATAACCATCGAACAGTATTGAGAATATTCGACAATAATTTCAATATATAATCGATACTCTTTTCTTGATTATATAATATAAAATATTATCATGGAATGGGATGTAAAATCAAAGTTAATCGTGTGCCTATCATCGTTTTTTAATTGATTGAAAAGTCTAACTTTGTCGATTATAAAATCGCTGTAAACTCGACTTTGATTAGTTTCGCGATCGGGAGAAAAAAAAAGCGTAAGCTATAATTTTCTATGAAAATGATAAAGAGAGAATATCATATTTTATAACGAGTATGTATCTTATTTTTAACTATGTCATCTTGAAATAATATTTTGTAAACCTCTCTCCTTTAAAGATTTATCATCTATCTATATTTATGCAGTGAAAAAAAAAATAAGAAAAAGAAAAGAAGAAAGAAAAATACCGATTATGCTCATACGTTCATAACTTTAACGCTATGAGCTTACGTCATTGAATTATAAACGCTAATTACACGATTTGAATGATTGAGGAGCCAGAAACGCTTGATTTCTCTCATATATATATACACACACACACACACACACACACACATGAGTAAAAGAAAGAAAAAAGAAGAAAAAAGAAAAAAAGGAAAAAACAGAAACGTCAAAAATATTGACTGTACGCGTCCTATGACGAAGCTAGGTGCTATTCGGTAGATTAAAAAAATAACAAAAAATAAATAATAATAATAATAATAATAACAATAATAATAATAATAATAAATATAATAATAATAATAATAATAATAATAATAATAAAAATAATAATAATAATAAACGAAAGGTAAAGAAATAAACAAAAACAAAATAAAAAGATAAGACAAAAGTGAAGAAGAAAATAGAGAAAATCACTTTGATTGAAACGTGTAGATAGTTTCATTTAGGTAGGTAAAATATTTTATACGATGTACACACACAAGCAGCATCATGTACACACATGTACGTATCATATAGGTCAATGATATAAAAAAATGCACGGATACACGAATGCACACGACAAAAATCGTGATAGATTGAAAACATATTTCCGTATCCGTTATGTCCGATCGATAAAACGCGTACGTAATTATTATTACAATGTATACGCGTATAAATACAAAAAAGAAAAAGAAATAGATAAAACGTTGAATGTCCGATTCTGTGTCCATTAGCCTGCAGGTAACAGGTTGCCGTCGTATATGGCATGAATGAAATTAATGCATAAGCAGCGCGATATGTATCGTAGACTTATACAATCCTCAAATCACATACGTCGAATTCTGATATTTTCCATGTGATATTCCATATATAGAATGCAGGAATATTAACTGAACCTTTCAACCTTTGGTTTTTTTTCTTTTCTTTTTTTTTTCTTCTTTCATTTCTTCTCTCTCCTCATCCTTCCCTTTTCATATATGTATATATATATCTTTTTTCCTCTTTCATCTTTTCTTTCTTAATCTTCCAAACAACTTCCTTTTCCAAGTTTAATAGCGATTCATGTCATGGCTTCACGTTAACTGCAATTTTGGACAAAAACTAATAAGTATCATTAATATCCTTTTACTACCACGTTAAAAGCGTGGGATGTATAGATTTGTACTTGTTCGTTTAATTTATTGTTAGGTAGCTGAAACATAAATGTTCACGAATCACAACGATGTCGATGAGATTTGTGAATAGAAAAAAGAGAAAACTTTTAGATCAATCTTGACTGTTTAGCCTTTAGATTCTATTAGCAACGTAAGAATGATTAAAACATTATTTTGTTGATATATATATATATATTATACGATATTATTGATTATGAATTATGAATAATCTGTAAATATATGAGACCAATGCAGTTTCAGGCTTTTTACATGACCTTGATCGGATAGTACTCCGTGTGTCCTCACATTCCCGAAGGCGATCTAAACACCGACGAGGAACAGGTATTAGATAATAATATATCTCAATTTTATCAAAGTAAATTATTTTTATAAACAAAGCGACATAAAATTTCAATGAATAAATTTAAAGTAAGTATACATTCGACGGTTTAAATGCTACCTTACTCTTGAAAATTCTTTTATATACATATATATATATATATATACATATAAAAAGATAAAATAAAATAAATTGAAATGACATTAAATGAAGTGAAATGAAGTGAAATGAAGTGAAATAAAGTGAAATAATAAAAAGAAGCTAGTACGCCCGTATTCGAGCGTAATCGTATATTCAAAAAATGGCGCGTGCACAGCGCCATCTGGGAACGCGCTTGATTGGATGAGGAAAAAATCCGCGAAGTCGCACGACGCATAAATCTGCTCCGCATTGCGTCAATGAAACATGAAGATTCGTTAACGAATGTGCCTTGAAATAAGTTGTTGAACGAAAGTGACGTTTAAAAAAGTTGGCGCGACTTGGAAATTGGAAGGCGTTTTCAATTAAAACCGAACTAACTAACGTAACCTTATAACATAGTAGGTTTATGCTTCTCGAGATGGCTAGGGGTCACTAGCCTCTCATACCGTACAGATCGCGGGTTCCTTTTTTTTCGGTCGGTAGGTACGCTGTCGTACTTATTTCTTTATTAGAAATCGTGCCGTGTGACATTGACTTTAACGTGTTCATCATCGTTACTTTATCATTATTATTTAGTACTTTCACGATTAATTGTCATAATACCAGTCTCAGCCGTGTACGTGATAATAACAATTGTCGTATCGACGAGTTGAAAAAAAATACGAGCTCTTCTCGGTTGACACCGAAGCGACATCGCGATTGACACGTCAAACGTTTTGAGAGACTTCGCCGTATGAAATATCGTTTAACCCTTTCCATGTAATCTACCTTTCCCTACCTCACCACCCGCCCGCCCCACTTCCCATCCCCCACCTATCCCATTATCCTTTTCCTCCTCCTCCTCCTCATTTTCCTCCTCTTCCTCTTCTATCTCCTCGTTACTCCGTTCTCTTTGACACTCTCTATCTTCGTCTCATTCAGACGTTTCATTGTTGTCACATTGATTGAATTATCGTTTCCCTTCTTTCCACTCTCACACGCGCTAACTTTATATTTTCCTTTTTCTTCTTCTCGTGGGTAAGCATAATAAAGTGAGGTTATGTATCTACGACGGGCGCAGCAACGTCGTAGCGCGGTGATTTTCTTAACCGGCAAGAGAGAGAAATAAATGACGCAGATCTTTCATAAGTGTGTGCGAGGATGGTGAAAAATAAGACGATGGGACCGTTTGCGTAAATAAAACAGAGAGAGAGAGAGAGAGAGTGAGAGAGGGAGAAAAGAGAGAGAGAGAGAGAGAGAGAGTGTGTGTGTATGTGTATATTCCGATTGAAATAATTACGTGTCATTGATATCGGAGTACATCTAACCTTTTGATGAAGTCGATAAGTCGTTAAAGAAAGAGGCAATATGCTGTGGGATATGTGAAGGAGCCCTTGGAATCTTACATGTAAGTTCGTATAATGGAGACGTAATTACGTATGTAAAATATCAAGCCATCGTTTATTGAATATAATTGTTGCTTTTAAAACAATGATTAAGAAAAATTTCAAATACTTATTTACAATTTATCAATCATTCCATATAAGCTATGTTTATTAAAATAAAAGACAACGTTGATCATTGTAATATTGATATTTATCGTATAAGTATGTCTCAAGAAAAATATACTTTAGTATCGAAAAATTCTTATTAATTTTGTAAGAAAAGAAATTTTTTTGTTGTTTTCTTTTTTGTTTCTTTTTTCTTTTTTGTTTTCTTTTTTTGTTTTTTTGTTTTTTTCATTTTTTTTCAATACGTTATTGCAAGTTATTGATATTTATAATAGCGAGCATACAAGGTAATTATTTTCTTCATTATTTATCTTTATTGTTTGTCTTACAACAGAATGAAAAGGCGTTATTTATGGCAACATATAATTCTAACCTTGTTTTTTACTCGCGCGATAAAGCAGATAAACAATCGAGCTGTATTATCGACAGGAGTGAAAATGAAATATTTTAATAAGAACGTTAACATTTATTAAATTTTATTTATTTTTTTTTTTTTCAATTATTATCAATGCGTAATAACATCCTAATTGATTAAAAATTATTTATTGTTACAGATTCAATATGATATGTATCTACCAGTGAGCAAAGTAGCTGCAGGCAGCTTATAGTTCCATAAAATGACCAAAGATGTCCTTACGATAATGATACCGTACATTTAGAATGTACAAGTTTGTTTATATTATATTCGTGGGATAAAATGTCTCAGGTAGAGAAAAGAATTTAAATTTATTTACATTAAAATGGCAGAAATTAGTACAGAGGATACCGAAAACATTAGGAAAATAATTGGCGTTGAGGAAGCTATAAATGAAAACGCTATGTGTTTAAAGAATAAAGAAACAAAGTCTAACGAAGAAGAGCCAGGACAAATTTCATCTTTAGAAGAAAATGATAATAATGACAAATCTTCAAATTCCACTGATGCATTCCCATCGCTTATAAAATGCAGCGAAGATAACACCTTGAAAAATACAAAAGATGATTCTTGCATACCATGTTCCGCCAATGACAATACGTTAAAGATTGACAATTCAACAAATAAATTTAGCAATGTAAAGGACGTTGAAGATATTGACCGAGAGAAAATACAAGAAAATAATTCTGAAAATGAAAATAGTAATGTTATAATAATATCTGAAGAAATTGAAAAATTGAATAAAGATGAAGAGACAGATTGTAAGGACGAAAATTACACGGATACGGAAGGATCGACCGATCGTTTGGAAATTGTAATGAGCGATGTGAATGACGAAAAGGTGCTTGAGAATGTAGAGATAAGGAAAGAGATTAATAAGGATAATTTTAACACCGACGACGAGCTTTCCTTGGAAGAAGAATCGCGAGAATTAAAAAAAGAATCGATCGAAAAGAAAACGTCCGTAAAGATCGACGAAGAATCAGAAGTTGGAATAGTTGGTCCACCTACCGCGGTTAGTGATCTTATAAACGAGGAGGAACTGCATGGAGAATCTACTTTATCGACGGAGAAAAAGGTTAAGGATCATGTTGCCGAATGGGTTCAAAAATCTGTCGCTACGGAAGCTTTAATTACCGGCGAAATCGAAGAAGAAGAAAATGAAATTCCAATTAATTGTCGACGAAGAAGAAGGAATCTCAGAGATAGGCGAAGTAGAAAGAGAGAAAATGAAGATCTTCCTTCGGTGTCCAGCAGAAAATCCCAAAGGATCGTTAGTAACATCATAAAACGAAGTATCAAATGGTAAGTAATTAAAAAAAATCAATCTTAACGATACACGATATAATATATTTTCCAATTTTCCGAGATAAATGTAAGCGTATATAAGAAAAATCGTAAATTACGCGTTGCGTGTTAAGAAAAGAACGAAAAACAGAAAAAAAAATTTTATATATATGTATATATATAAACAAAAAAAAAAAGAATCGGCTTTTCTCTTTTTCGTGCCGTCGATATTTGAGATTTAGCTTATCTACCGATAAAACTCGGATAACAGACAGTATTCAGTACCGTGCAATCGCGCAGTAACGGCCAAGAAACAGGAAGGGGAAGCGCAAAAATCAAGGGGAAGAAATATTGACCGTGAGACCAACGAACAAGCGTTTGTATCGATAACAGGATGATCGTTTCTTTTATGAATCTTCTTTATTCCTTTACCTGCTTAAAGAAGATTGAAGAAGCAAACTTATCGTTCTATTTTTAATATCTACAATTAAGCATTTTTTTGTATCCTTGAAAATAATGTCGATACTTCTAAGCAGTCTTTTGTTAGAGCTCAACTAAGCGTATATGAAATTTTGCTTGCTGCCTAATTCGTTGAGCAAGAATATTTTTTTTTTTTTTTTTCTTTTTTTTTTCTTTTTTTTTTTTCCTCTCAAGTTAACAAATGTAATTTATTCGACCTGAATTTTCCTAATCAATTTATTATTCATTCGTTCCGAATCCGTTATATGGTTCTCTATATATTTCTTTTTCTTCTCATCGAGAGTCTGCGAATTATACCCGCATAAGAGCGGGGCGTAAATGCCGGACATTCTTTTTTTCTATGACGGTACTCCTCCTCGTCAGAGTTCCCCCACCATGTTGAACAATATTCTTCTCCTATGCGTCTGTGCTTGCTGGTTCTGATCTGCTGTTAGCGATGTATTCCTCTATTACATATACTCGTCGAAGCACACCGCCATGAAGGATGTGCTTCTGGAAAAGAAACACCCTCCTGTATATGGGGATTGCAAAAGAGAGGAAGGAACGATGGAATATAAGTATAGTCCAGTGGGTAAAGATGGGATGAGTAAAAAAAGAAAAAAGGAAAAAGTAAAAGAAGGAAGAGAGAGAGAGAGAGAGAGAGAAAGAAAAGGGGTAAATTTTCAAGCGTTCTAGCAACGACATAGACGCGTCAATAAATTCTGAAATGTTCGTGCGGTATGATTTAAAGCTTCGAATGATATATTCTGGGATCGATAAAAAGAGGGAAATGATATAGAGAGTTTGCGTCATGGAAAACATCAAAGACAGAGATATAACTATAACGTCTATTACAAAGTGAAATAGAATTTTGAATAGGTACAAAATACAAAGTACAAACGAATAAGGCAGATAAATTCTCGTGGAATTCTTAGACGTGCGTCACGCAAAGGCTATCCAGTTTCCATGGTCTCGGGCCAAGGCTGGTCTCACCCCGCAGCCTGATGAAAGTGGAGTGGCGGAGGGGCGTTAATCCCCGCGAACGGTACCATAGAAACGGTACCGGTGGGGTCGTTGCGTGCAGCCCGAGTGCGCTCGGAGACCAACCACTCTGCTTTTTGGTACCAACTACATATGTATATACCTCCTATATACGGGTGGAACACACGAACAAGAAGGACGGAGGAAGATAGCGATATAATCCAGACCCAAGGCCCCCACCAAGAAAAGGGGAAGACCTTCTTTGTCCCGTGGAGTCCCTCGGGCGAAGGTCCATGGCCAGATGTCGGCTGGCTGACGGTGCTTGCACGCACACAACACACGTTACCGCCGCCGCCCTTCTTCTTCTTCTTCTTCTTCTTCCTCTTCTCCTCCTCTTCCTCCTCATCGCACTCCTCCCTTCTTTCTTACCCACTGTGTACGTACGTGCACGAAGCTTTCTTTGTATTGAAGGCTCTTCTTCTCCGCTTTTCGAGCCCTTTTCGAGCTTCTTCCTTCTTTACGATACGATGGTACCGTGTTTATATCATCCAATGGTATATGTCCCGAGCCTATCAGCGTTTATATTTAATCATCGGCAAGTATAATAACGATATTTTTCTTTACTTTCTACAATTTACCATTTATCATTTTATTATTATTCTTTTTTATTTCTTTTTCTTTTTTTTTTTTTTTATTTCTTTATTTTTTCTTTTTGTTTCTTTTTTCTTTTTTCTTTTTTTTTCTTCTTTTTTTTTTTTTAATCTTCTCCATTTATACCGGATTTACATATAAGAACGATTTCCTGGAAGTTTGTAACCGTTTGCTACGGATGTGGTTCTCTTTGCAAGATACCTCGAAGGGACTGCGATATACGTATACACATTGGTCGACCTTCGAGCCTTCTTGATACCTGAAAAGATCGGACTCACGAGAGCAGTTTCTACAAGTTGGTGTGAGTAGAAAACGAGGTCGAATCACAAATTCGATGCGTCACCTTTCAGTTGTTTTTACGTTCGTTAAAGGTAGAATCTATTTTGGAATTACTTGCGAGTCTAGAAACTTGCAGGTTAAAATTTCTCATAATAGCTCTTCATTCTCTGTCTCACTTTTTTAGTCACATATATATGCTCCCTCTCTCTCTCTCTCTCTCTCTCTCTCTCTCTCTCTCTCTCTCTCTCTCCTTTCCTCCCTCCCTTAGAACTTGACTAAATTAAAAATTAATATCGTTTGCAAAACAAAAAAAAAAGGATCTTTATTCCAAACCATAAATGAATATTTTAAGAATCTCTCAAATGTTATCTGCCGAATCATTAAACAAAAAATAAGAATAATAAGAAGTAGTTGCATCGAAAATTGGAGAAAGGAAGAGTAACCATCTTGCTTGGATGACCTCAATTCTGACTTGATTTGGCCGATCGAAGGTTAAGAACGAGTTATATAAAATCGTTGGGTCGACGATATTGTCGTTCGTGCAGAAGGCTTATTCATTCGCGTCGCAGAGAAGATCTCGTGATTCCTTCGAAAGAAGCATTGAATACCAGTTCTTAAATTTGATGGGAACTTATGTATAAGAAGGGTGCCGAGCTAAAAGGCAAGAACAGAAAAATCACTTTCAGAAAGTTCCTTTTAAATCCGAACAGTTTGAAGGGGAGATCAATCGTATACCCCTAGCTATCGGTATCTGTATATTCTCATTGTTTGCCATCATCATCATCATCATCATTGTCGTCGTCGTCATCGTCGTTGTCGTCGTCGCCGTCGCTGTCGTCGTCGTCGTCGTCGTCGTCGTCGTCGTCGTCGTCGTCGTCGTCGTCGTCGTCGTCGTCGTCGTCGTTGTTATTGCGGTGATCATCAAGAGGAGGCTCAGAGGACAAAGAGTCTCTCTTTAATGGCTGCCAAATCCATACATACATACGTAGATGCATACATACATGCATACATACATATATACATACATTCCGAAGAAGCTGACGTTTCCTTTTAGGCTTTCATCTTCGGTATCCTGGTAACGCAAGTGTGACGTCATCACGTGATCCAGGTCTCAGCCGGTTACCATCCGTTACCATCGCGCGCACCACCACCACCACCTAGTACCGCCTCTCTCGAGCGTACCTTCTAACCCTCTATATGTATCTCCGCCACCCTCTCTGACGATCCCCTTTCGCAATTCCGCCGCCCTCCAACCGGACTCTGACCCCTCTTGCGCCATCACGTTCGTTGCTATAACGAGAGGAAGAAAGAGCAGGTTCCAAACGAGAAACGAGTCGATGAAATAACTATGAGACCAGAGAGAAAGTGGATGGATGGATGGACGGATGGATGGATCTACTCCCATCGGAAATATCCAACTGTGTATTATGAATCAAATGATAATGATTGTCGATGCGACAAAATTAATAACGTAATATCGATTAAATAACAAAAAGGAATATTGCATGTAATATCCTTCGAAATCGATCATTTTCATATAACAAGAGTGAATCAAATCTTGGGAACTTTCTTATGCAACAATTTTGTATAATACCAGAAAGTCTCCGATACCACGCGAAGTAGAAAGGTCCAAATCGAAATTAGAAATGCGACATGCGAAGACTAACATTGGATTCGTACGTATCGTTACTAAAATTAGATATCCCGAGGACGAATAACGCGTGTATTTAGTCTGGAATCGAGTTCAATCGAAAGGTAGAAAAGATTTACGGAATTAGAACCTAGTGCTTTTATATTTTATTTAACATTGAACAGTATATAGCTATATATAACTATATAAATGTACGTACATACGTATGTATGTATAAATACATATATATGTATATGTGTGTATATATATATATATATTCGATGTTAGCAGGTAAAAAGATTACTTTTTCTCTTTCTTTTTCTCACGTATTTGTTACATCTTCTCGTACTCGTTTCTCAAAGGACCACAAACTCGGAGAGAGTAAAGGAAAGAATCATTCTTTGGAGAACAATAGTCAAGAGACAGTGTTGAAGTATACGCGACTTGGCAGGTTTTGGCAGGCCGGCAGGCAGCTCAGGCAAAGAGAATATGGCTTGAACTTCGGTTCGGATGGCGGGTATTGATCCTAGCGAACCTAGCAGCGGGGTGGCCGGGACCCCACCTCAAGGATGAAGGGTGTCTCCCCTTCTCTCTGCCCTCTCTTTCTCTCTCTCTCTCTCTCTCTCTCTCTCTCTCTCTCTCTCTCTCTCTCTCTCTCTCTCTCTCTCTCTCTCTCGCTCTTTCACCCAGCCCGAGAGAAAGAAGGAGAGAGATGACGAGATGGAACAGGCCGAGAGGGAAACAGACAGAGAAAGAAAGAGCGAGTGAGAAAGGAAAAAGAGAGAGAGAGAGAGAGAGAGAGAGAGAGAGAGAGAGAGAGAGAGAAGAAGGAGGGAGGTAGAAGAAGCACGTGAACAGGGTGGTTGTCCCTCAAGAGAGAAAGAGGAAGAGATAGAGAGGGTGAACCACCTAGCACTTCGTGTACCGCAGATACCATCCCTTGATTGCTGCAACAAACGCTCGAAATATCCAAAAAGCGACCCTCCGAGAAGAAACACTGGAGAAGGGTCCAGACGAGAAGCATGGCGAAAGTGTAATATTGAAGGAAAAAGTAAGAGAGAAGCAGGTAAGAGAGAGAGAGAGGAAGAGAGAGAAGCAGGTAAGGGAAAGAGAGAGGGAGAAAAAAGAACCAGGTAAAAGAGAGTTAGCGAACTCTATAGGAAATTCCCTCTTTTCGCTTTGTCCTCGACGTAGGTATTAGAATATTGGTACCCTTGGAGAACAATACTTAAGAATCATATCTCAATTCACTAAAGTACAATGCAAGCAATGGTATAATTGCTTAAGAAGATGAGATCCTACAAGAGAAAAACTTTTCCAATATTAGATATCTTTCGTTTGCATTAAAAATATTCATCTTTGGATGGAAAAGTTGTAGTACCATCGTAGTTTTTTCTTTCTTTTTCTATTCTTTTTTATTTCTTCTCTTTTTTTTTTTTCTTTTTTTTTTTTTTTTTTATCGATCACCGATCGGTGTCAGAGTTTGCTTTGCGAGCATTGGAGCCGATAATCGAGAGCGTGACGTCATATGTTTTCTCGACACACCAACAGTTCAACATGACTCACCGACCGTGTAACTTCCTGCGTTGCCCTCGAATAGATAACGCTCGAAGGAACTTCTCGTGTAGTCGTATGAAGTACTTTTGCCAAAATCATAAGTAATTTCAGAGATAGATAGATAGAGATTGAGAGATTGAGAAAGAGAGATGGAGAGAGAGGGGGGAAGAGAGAGAGAAAATTCTGACGTTTATATCAGTGTGATTCGAATTGAATTCGTAAAGGAAGAATGATTTTCCAAAAGTGAAAGGAAAGACTCGAATGAACGGAAGGGAGTTCGCAAAGGTGATGGTGAGCTTTCGACGAGTTGGGCTCATGTCGCAGCTGCGCATCCTCCGTCGTGTGTTCTCCAGGCAGTGGTCGGTCGGATGGTTGCGAATATACCGGCACCAAGTCGAAGAAAGAGAAAGAGAGAGAAAGAGAGAAGGAAAGAAAGAAAGACAGACAGACAAGACGGCGCTCGGCTTATTTCTCTACTATGCCAGCTGTGGGAGAAAACGGCCATACAGACCGCCTGCCACGACGACGACGACGACGACGACGACGACGAATATAGGAGAGGAAGAAGAGAAGGAGACGGATCGAGGGGAAATCGTAAGAGGGAGAGAGCGAGCGAACGAGAAAGAGAGGGAAGGATAGATAGAGACAGAGACAGTGCTTCGTCGTCGTCGACGACGGCTGGTGCCGAGAGACGGAGGGACGAGAGGCCACCGGAAATCGGTCTGTCCTTATTTGAGTGGCCGCGTGAACCACACCGAACGAGACCAGACTCGGTGCTGCTATTGATGCTTTTGATGCTGCTTTTACTGCTGCTGCTGCTGCTGCTACTGCTGCTAGCTGCTGCTAGCTGCTGCTGCTGCTATAGCCGTTGCTGCTACAGCCGCTTCTTCACTCTTCATAATTTCTACTCTTCTTCGCCTCCTTGAGACCCACGCGAACGATAGATGAGGCTCGACCGAGCCTCCGGCACATACTACCTACGCGACAAAAACTCTCTCCTTTTCTCTTCTTTTTTCTCTTTTTCGTTCTTATTGAAGAGCCTCTAACAAGAGACGATCCTACCTTATTCCGAGACGAAAAACTACAAACACGACGATGGCGCGATGCGTTCGTGCTCGCTTTCGTGATAAGAATATCTTTCATCCTACTCTCTGTCTCCCTCCCTCCCCTTCTCTCTTTCCTTCTATTTATCAGTTTATGTGACTCTTTGTGCGGACGATGCAATTTTCTTTGTCTCACTCTATCGTGCAATACCGCCACCATCAAGTCTCTCGTAAAACACATCACGTTGAAACAATTAAATACATCGAAATTTTTCCATTTTTCCATTAACGATCAATTATTCGAAAGTGTTACGAAATATCGATCGTGTCAATTAATTCTATTTAATAAATTTTAAAGCTTTTGAATAATCCGTTCGACAATAAGCACCGCTTTATATATGTACATATTTTCGTTCTATTAACGATCAATTATTCATTCATTGCCATATGTAAGGCAATACGAATCGTTGGGCAACGCGATACCAGACCACTAATGCGTGGAAGAACGTTTATTATCTACTGCGCGTGCTTTCTTTATCAAACCAAAATGGCCGCCGTGGTGAACCAAGAGTCGTTCGGTTTCTACATACCTCGCTTCGTTTGTCCTTGACGATTCCCAGTACTCAACCGTTATCGAATACGTCGATCTAGATACTGTGTAATCTAGATTTTTATTTAATTAACGATACTTAAGTATTGCGTTTGAAATTCTTGGTATTATTACGATAGGCGACATTGTTATACGATATAATATTCTCGGTACCTGTGTAACCATTTTTACAACAAAAGACCGCAGAGTTTTATACCTGGAGAGTAAGAATTCTTTCTTTTATGACTCATGTACCTATTGTACTTTCTCTTCTTTAAAGGAACCTTAACCTTCGTATACATGAAGTAATTGAAACTATGGTAATTTATGACTTACTTAAATCCATAAACCATCCTTAGAAATAGTGGAAAATAAGAAAAGAGAAAGTAAGGGAGCATTACTGCTAATTCCTTCAACGGACGATCGACCTTGGCTTCCACGTTTCATTCCCCTTCTCTCTCCCTTCCTCCCTCCCTTCCTCCCCCTCTATCTCTGTCTCTTTCTCGTTCGAACATCGGCATCCCCTCGTAAAGATCCCCGATTCATACGGGTCCTAGATGGCATCTAATTATCTCGTCGATCGTTAAACGCCATCTCGTTGAGTGTGCGTGAAGCATGCATCGTGGGGTTAAACAAGGAACGAACGAGTGGACGAAAGCTTTGTGTTGAAAGATCGAGCCGAAGAACGAAAGAGAGAGAAAAAGAGAGAGAGAATGTTCGTCGTCGATACACGTTGCGTTGGGGTGGATGAAACGGAAGACGCGTAACTCGATGCTTTGTAGGAATAAAAGGAGAGGGAGAAGAAGAGGAAGAGAGAGAAAGATAGAAGTAGAGCGTGGAAGACAGGTCAACGTCGACGAAGACTACGACTACGACGACGACGACGACGACGACGCAAAAGAGGGCTGGCTGGCTGGTTGGCTGGCTGGCGAACCCCCGAAGGAGCGTAGTAACGCGCGTAGCGGTAGCGGTAGCGGTGACCTCCCTCTTTTTCCCCTGTCTCTCTTGTTTCGTCGTGGCAACCCCCGCGGCCCCTCCGGCGCGTCCCCGTCATCCCTGCCGCGACGGGCGTCGGAGCACGATCATTGGTTCGCTGGTTTCAACGCAGACACGAGGAGGCACACGCAGCTGCCACCGGCTGGCTCTCTCGTTCCACCGCCGGACCCGATCGGCCGGCCAGTAGTAAGTCCGGAGGAGTAGCACCGTGCGTACGGTGCGCCAGTTCGCGCGCGTTAATCAAAACGATATTATTGAGACGCCCGACTTTTTTTACCATTCTGTGTCTTTTTTATCAACCATTCGTCTTATTGCTTCTTCTTTTAACTTCGTTGTTCGGTATTTAAAATCATTTATATCTCTCTCTCTCTCCCTCATAATTTTTTTGCTTCTACATTTACATCCTCCCCTTCGTCGTCCATTCTCGTGTCATTCCGCCATCTCGACGATCCACGCAGACAGTTTCCTCCTATGTTCAACGTCAAAATCGTCAAAACATCAGCCAACAACGACAACGATAACGACGACGTCAACGACGTCGACGAGGACGACGACGAGGAGGAAGAGTACACGAAGCGACACCTTCCGACGACGGCGTGGACTCCGCTCTGTGGTCGCACGTGTCGCGTGAGAGACGCGTCGCGTGTGCGTGTTAGTATATACGTACGCAATATACGTCGTCGTCATCGTAGTATCGTCGTCGTCGTCGTCGTCGTCGTAGTAACGGACGATCAAGCTCGTTGCGCTGCTTTTGCTTCGTCTCATTTTCTTCTTTTTTTTTTTCTTCGTCTTTTTTACATTCTCTTTTTTTTCTCTCTTTCTTTCTTTTTTTCCCACCTTCTTTCAATTCGTTCAATTCCGAGTTTATTCGTTCGTAATCCTCCAACGTTTTTGAATTTTCGACAACGACAGATACAGAAAGAAGTGGAAGAAGGGATGGTAGAAAGGAAAGAGGGGAAGGGAGACCCGACACTCTCGTTTTCGGATACTCTGACCCCTCCCCCTTATCTCTGTCTTTCTCCTCTCCAGCAGCGTCAT